ATTAGGACTACAAAGTGTCATCCTGAAGAATGTCTGAACCTCCACCAATGGCATTCACACGCTCACACACACACACACACACACACACACACACACACACACACACAGATACACACTGCACACTTGGAAACAGCCAATCCTCTCTGTGCGGGCTAAGCTGTCTCCCCTGTGCCTTGAGCGCAGCTGAAGAGACAGACTGGAAAGGAAAGAGACGAAGTCCGAGAGGTGCGATTTCTTGCACCTTCGCAGAAACAACAGGTCGATCTATCACAAACGAACGTTCGCACACTTCTGCTTCGACAAGTCACATAAGTTGTTTAGCACCTGCACGTTCAACAAGCAAAAGGGGCGACGTGGGGGGGGGGGGGAGCCTCGGTTCGTGTTAATTTCCATATGCCAGAGGCACGAAAAAGTCCAAACGAGTCACCTTGCTGCTTGCAACATCATCACCCTAAAGAGGAAGTGACTGAGGCTGGAAATAAAGACAGCCCATGCAGGGTTGTTGTTCTACATCTTTCATTATTAATTCATTGTTGTATTGATTGTGTATTCATCTGGAGGGGAAGCGGAGGAGAACTGATGTCTGAGGCAGCTATATTAGCCAGCACTTCCCTTCCTCTCCTGTTTCTTATCTGGAAGGCTGCTGAGGCGCTGGGAGGATGCAGGGTGAGCCGCCTGCTACTCTGATACAAGCGTCAGAGGAAAGATACAAACCTGGAAAAAGGGCACGACAATGTGGAAAAAAAGAAGAGCTTGACCAGAGATGGGCAGTAACGCGTTCATCTCGCGTTACTTGTAACGCGTTACTGTAATCCGATTACTTTTTTGAGTAACGAGTAAAGTAAGAGATTACTATTGCAAAAAGGGTAATTAGATTACTGTTACTTTCCCGTAAGCACGCTGCATTACTGCGTTACTAAAACCGTGATTTTCTTGCGAGAGTGTCTCATGATAATGACATAAGCGAGTGTGACAACAGCTGTGTGCAGATCAACAATGGAGTGTGGGAGAGAGCATGAGCGTGTAGCGTTTAAAGCGTGGAAGTACTGACCTTACTTTAAGTTTGATTCCGTAAAAAGTGACAAAAACATTAGCGTCCGTTGTTCACTGTGTGGGAAGAAAACCCCTAAACTTCCGAGCAAGCACCGAGTAATGTGAAACTCACAGAGAAACTCGCAGATTCTTCCACTGACCGCTGCGGCACACCTGCACCAGGGTAAACCTCCGCCTACCCAACTCCTGCTTTACAGGTGAAAATAGAGCAAAAGGACCGCTAGTCTTTGATTTTATTTATTTTCTGCTGTGTTTTACTTGCATCTATTTGAAAGAGTGAGTGTAAACACAAAAAATATTTTATTTTATGTGCTGGAATGTGCAGAAAATAGGTTTAAATGTTAAACTAATTTCTTCCAGTCAGTGAATGTTGCATATAATTAAATTTTTGCTTGATGCATAAAGTTAAAAGATTAAAACTAATAAAACAAGTTTTAAAAAGAGACTTTTCCATTTGATTACATTTTGTATGATGGATTATGCAGAAAAAGTAGAATTGGGCTGAAAGATCTATCGCTTTATCACCTATTCAGGTTGTAAATCGTGTTTTTAAAAAGTAACTAAGTAACTAAGTAATTAATTACTTTTGAAAATAAGTAATCAGTAAAGTAACGGATTACTTTTTGGGGGAAGTAATCAGTAATTAGTTGCTGATTACTTTTTTCAAGTAACTTGACCAACACTGAGCTTGACTGTGCAAAATATGTATTTCAAAGCCAAGTGGTACACATGAACCAAGCTGACTGTCAAGTTTTTCAAGACCACGCCAGTGATTAATGAGAACAGCATGTCCTTTCTTAACAATTTAAATTTCTTTCTAACATTTGGGTCAACAGGAGAGAGAGAAGGAAACCAGACAGAAAGGGTAGTGAGAGGTTTAAAAGTTCTACTGCAATATTTCTCCTAGAACTATTCATCTCATCTCCATGTGTCCTGTGATATTTCAGGTTGAATTTGATGCAATCTTTGAGATCCTCTCATGGCAAAAAGATGAGATTTGGTGAGTATTGACTTCATTAGTAATGGGGTAGTTCAACACTTTTACACAGTGTATACAAAGCCACTGCAAGAAGCCAATGAACCGGACTAATCATAAAGGTTGAAACCACTAGCCTGGGTCTGCAAAATTCATCTGAACCTCACTGAATGCAGCTGAAAATACACAATTGATTAAAACTGCTTATGTGGCTTGATTTAATATGGCTTGGTATCAATCAGAAAAGCAACATGCATTTTTGAGAGAAGACTATTCTCACGTCTGTGAAGGTTCCCAGTCATCCAGGTCATCGTAGTCAAAGGAGCTTGCAAAGAAAAGCGTCTGGACTTCTTTAAGTTACTTGAAGACGTTTCACCTCTCATCCGAGAAGCTTCTCAGATGAGAGGTGAATATTCTCACATATTTATGTTCAGAGCAGGAGAGGAGAGATGAAAGAACAACAGATCTTATGCAAATGTTAAGGACTAATACTATTCCTCCCACTTCATCCTGCTTGGTAGCTCAGATCGCAACCTGATTCACCTAACCCTCTACTGTGTCCCTCTAGTCAAGAAGCAGCCTCTGACCCCACGGATGGTGAGTATATGGTCATAGGATGCTTTTGTGGCCCTGCCAGGCCGCTCTGAGGGGAATGGTTGGCCAGTCCTCTGTGAGTCGTAGTGAGAGGACATTGATGGGAGCGTAAAATTGATCAGTCTACATAAATTTCTGCACCGACTCCATAATTCCAAAGGAACAACAACAAATCATGTGTAACAAAGGACATCAAAGCACTCCTTAAAAAGAAAACGAGGACCTTCAGAGCTGGCAGTATGGAGGAGAGAGAAGCTTAAAGTATCCTAAAGAAATCCATCAAGGAGGACATGGACAACTACAGGAGAAAACTGGAGTGGAAAATCCAGCAGACCAACATGAGGGCAGTCTGGAGTGGCATGAAGTCCATCATTGGTTTAAGACCAACAAACAGCGCTGCAGTTGAAAACTGTGGAATTAACCAATAGACTAAATCCGTTCTTTAATAGCACAAACCTATGTGCTTTAACTTTGGAATATTTAAAGCTCCTTAGTTTTTCTTATTTCTACTCTTTTTTTTTAGGGAGACTTTACTTTTTATTTGAATATTTATATTTAACTTATATTAATGTCTGAAACAAGTCTGATACCTCAGTGGAAAATAAGGACACAAAAACTAAAAAGCAGCCTAAGGAGGCCACTTTTGGACTGCAACTGACTGTAGCAATGGGGTTTTGTAAAAAAATAAATAAATAACAATAATAATTAAAATAATAAAAACAAATACGATATACTGTTCACTTTCAGTCTCTTTAGCATTAAGTGGTTCTTCGCTGTTTTGCTAGCTGCACTGAAATGGGAAAATCCAGCTACTGGCCATAATTTTAGGGTTTTTAGAGCATTTTCTAAATGAGGACTGTGTGGGGGAGAGCCTGTTTGAGTCTGGTGCACCAGACAGACAAGCTGAAGTCCGACACTCTGATTTTTAATCGTCAGTTAGGGTGTAGTTAACAAATGGCGTGTAAATTAGCCTTTATACATGTAGTGTTTCATGTCTACTTTAGGAGTATGAGGAGATATTTAGAAGATTTTAATGCTCCAAGAACCAAGAAAAGCACTAAAATGTAAATATTCTGATTGGTAAAACACTTAACTGTAAATTATGGTATAGATTGTACTCTCCTGTTTCTTTACTGTTCTTTACAGACAGCTTTTCAGGGATTTCACACAATACAAATACCTATACATCGCCTGCAGTGGGTTATGGAGAAGGCTTCAGCTGAACTGGTTTAATAAAAATGTCTGTAACTCAGATCCTTTGGGGACAAAAAATCTCCAAACAAAAAGTCTGGTTTCACTAATAAACTAGAGTTGGTGTGTCAGACAGGTTTGACTTCAGGTTGCTTTAGTGGGAGTCTGAGCTTTGCTGTGAAGCTGCTCTGAGAGGATTTAGTGTGGGATAACACCAGGTAGCTGATAGCCTATTACAGTATAATCACTGAAGGTTTTTGCTCATTTGCAATCCGTGCCAGCCTGTGAGCAACTAGAGTGTATCAATGAAAGATTCATTGAAGGCAGTACAAACACAACTAGTGATCTGGATTAAATATTCATTGAGGAGATGTTAGTCGGGATCCTATGGAGCTTTAACACTTGACTCTTTCAGTGCATGTCACTATTGCTGGAATAAAACATGGCTCATTATAGCATCGAGCTGCAGCCAAGGAGGTTTTATGGTTTGGAGAAATTCAACCAAATATCCTCATCTGCTGCTGCTGCTGCTGAGCTTGTTTTTCTTACGGAACTCATTGCAGATTTAACAGCCTCCTCTCTTGAAGAAGGTAAAAGAAAGGGCACAAGGCATTTCCTGAGTGCATCCCCTGTGAGTTTGAAAAATGAATTAGGGCCTGCAGCCAGAGGTTTCCACCGCTGTTACATCCAGTAACACCCTGGGTTATTTTTAGCATCCTGCCGTCTTGTCAGACTGGAGGAGAGAAGAAACCCCCACCCCCCACCCCCCACCCCACCCTCATGTAACAAGAGGAGGCTAGTGGGAAGCTGTAAGGCAGGTATGATCACCTTATAAAGCTTTATCCAGGTTTGGAGATGTGGTGGAGGGTAAGCTCACCTGAGCACACCTTTAGGTTGACAAAAAAAGTCATTGTTACATAAATATATTGTTCTGCTGAAAAAGTGAAGGCGCTGCACATTTGTGTTAGGCTTTGGAAATGTGGTTATATATATATA